TGGAGATTGCAATATGGGTATAGTAACAATTTGGAGATTCCCAACAATATAGCTTAAAACTAAGCTTTAACCACGACTGCTCTTCACTTCTAGCTGCCATATAAATGTTGATTTAGAAGTTCTTGGCTCATTCTTGGTTCATTCCTGCCTCTTAAAATTGCATGACCTTAAGAACTCTATAATGAGATTTTCACTTAGAGTGTATTTGATATGACAAAAGTCATATCCAAAATATTTTCCTAAAACATGTTTTCCAATATTTGGTTGGTGAATGGAAAAAAAAAATTCGGAAAAAATATATATTTACATTAATGATAATATTAGCAAATCAAAGAGTGCTTTGATCAAATTTTTGAATAGTAAAGATTATTAATAATAATAATAATAATAATAATAATAACAACAACAACAACAACAACAACAACAACAACAACAACAACAACAATGTCTTACTGTTTTAGTTGAAATAAGTAATATAAAGTTTAAAGTTTAGGTAGTTGTAACTGTAGACATGTGATTTTTGACCCTCCCCAAGATTTTATATATTTTAGTATGTAAATATTTAATTTAGGTCTAATATTGCTATTTCAACTAATTTTGACTCTTTTACTTTATTTTATTACAAGAAAATGAAAATTACAAAAATATTTTATTTTATGTAACTTTCATAAAGTAAAAAAAATACAAAAATAGTACCTTATTTTTTTCTTTATATAGTTTTGAAAAATACAAAAAATATATAATAGTTTCATGTTTTAATATAGCTTAGTTTAATTAATTAGAATTTGTTTTTGCATCATGTAGTATAGTTATCTTATATTAAAGGAATTTAGTTATGGTTTTGAATAATAATTTTAAAGTCTTCTTAGCCCAAAATTGAAACACAACCCATGTAAGTGCAAGATTTAATCCTAACCATCTATTTCCTTCTGATCCAATGGTCATCATCCCTTCTCACTTCCATATAAAATACCCAATTATAGAAACCCTACCTAAGTTTTCAATTCCTAGACTTAGACTAAAAAATAAAAGAAAACGGCACATCAACCATAAAAGACGATTGGTCTGTTGGTTTTGCTGATTGTTAGTAAATGAACTCCAAATTGAAATCGAAGCTGATTGGTTGCGGATGTTAGTAGTTTTTCAAAGTGAATGTGTTCAAGGTCCTTGAAGAGAGTGAGTTGATTGAGCCTCTCAAAACTTGTCTTGAAATTGCCTGCATGTACAAATCAATTACTGGAGCCAAATTACAACCACCAATCTTGTCCAATTGTAGCTTCTAAAATTGAGCTCTAACTTCGAAATTATCAGTGAACTAAGGTACTTTCCGGCCACGCTCATTACCAGTAAGAAGAATCAATTTTGGCGTGCCTGGTTAAGGGGAAAGCTAGTCATCCCATAGAGGATTTCCATGTTGCTAAGTTCGTCCAGTTGCAAGGACGTGAACTAGGATTTTTTGCTATTTATGATGGGTATTTGGGAGATAGCGTTCCTGCCTATTTACGGAGGCATTTGTTTTCCAATATCTTAAATGAGATCTTAAAGGGCGTGCTTTGTCAGATTGTTGGAGGTTCTAGTTTATCTGAGTTAGATTGGGGTTTCGAGCTCTCCGGTATCGATTCGAGGTTCCGGTTTGTAATTTCGGTGTTTCAGTCACAGGATCGTTGCCTTGTTTAGCTCAATTGATTTGCAATTTTCAGTTTTGTTCACTAATAAAAGATCAATTTCTCAATTTTCGTTCTCATTTCATTTTATTACAATAGCTTGGTCCGTGTGTTGGTTGATTTGTGATTTTACGTTGTTTGGGTAGCATGTTTTATTTTTTTTCATTTAAATTGTTTGAATTAGTTGTATTTCGATTGTGATGCATGTAGTCTTGGGTCTTTGAATAAATACTTTTAATTGGGTAGATGAAAATTGAAGTTGTTTCTTTCTTGACAAGAAATAAGAATGGGTCATAAGGTGTGTCTTGAACTATAAAGAATCTAGGCCAAGTAATAGATCATGTTAGCTAGCCCTTGGCCCCAATAATATCTTGTTCATAAATTTGGCCTTATAACAATCTCAAAGATTAGGAAAATAATTCAAATGCGTGGCTTGCTTTAGGCGCGCTAGTTAATAATTTACCTTCCTAAACTCGGGTGTGCATTTCATGCGACCCAAATCCAAATCTCAACAACGTTAACTAAAATGTGTCGTGGACCGCGGGTGCATTTCATGTGGTGTGGTTCAAGATGTATTTTAGATAACGTTGAATCTTCCTAAAATTAATTAAAAGCTGTTAATAAGTTAAAAATGTACCATAGGCTAAAACATGTATTAAAATCAGATAATAGGCCAATTATAACAGTTAAGCGACCTGCTAAAACCACGGAACTCGGGAATGCCTAACACCTTCTCCCGGGTTAACAGAATTCCTTACCCGGATTTCTGTGTTCGCGGACTGTAAAACAGAGTCAATCTTTTTCTCGATTCGGGATTCTAAACCAGTGACTTGGGACACCATAAATTATCCCAAGTGGCGACTCTGAATTTTTAATAAAATGATCCCTTTTCGATTGTCACTTTAAGTTGGAAAAAACTCCCTTATATACTCCCTTCAGGGGTGTAGTGAAAAAGGAGGTGTGACAGTAACGAAAATTAATGACATCCCTCTAAAAATGAGGGAAGTTCTTTCCCATCATTTGATAGAAAATTTTTCTTATCCATCAACCAAACACCATAAAATGATTTTGTTGTACCAAACAGATCCTTAGTTGCATTGAAATTATATGAAGGAATAACTAGGTTGAAAATGTTGCTGATTAATTTGCATGTAAATGGAAATGAGTTGGAGAAAAAGAAAGAAAAGAGAAAAGGTGAAAATGTAGTCTCACTTGGAAAAGTAAAGCATCAGGTACTTATCTGTGTAATAACTGAGACATGATTCTTAAAGGAACTAATTTGGTTCCCTTAGAATAGAACTACTCATAAAGATTCTATGAATCTAATAGTATCTGATCCTTCTGTTATTTTTCTTTTTCTTTTGTTGCTGTTAATTAAGTACATAGACTTAAATAGTGGTCCTAAGTGATATATAAGTCTTGCTTCCTTTTCACTGTTCTTGACCCGAGAGTCCTAAGGAAGGAGTAATATCTGCGTACACATTATCCTCCCCAGACTTGACTGGGTTTGAGAGTTCAGTTTAATGACTAGGGCTACTGTTACTTGCACTCAGGTGACCTCTCACCGGGCTGACCATCAGCTGCAGGTGTTGAGGCACACAAGACGGCCTACAGGTTTGATCGAACCCAGTAGTTTTTATTCAATCAGTGTATTTGAATTCATGAAATATGTATAAATATTAAATCTAGAACCCAGTCATTAACACTTGAAGTCGTGGTCCCAAAATCCAGAACCCATAGGGTTAAAATCCTGGCTCCGCCTTCCACTCCTCAGGTAGAAGAGGAATAAGTAAGCATGTCAAAGGTTTATAGAGGAGATGAAGTAAACTTGAGCAAACAAAACAAAAACGAACCATGGATTATACCTTGCGCACAGCAGATGACTGCAGTAATGTTTGAAACAAAAAAGAGGAAAATGGTTAGCACTAACGGATAACCCCAGTAAACCATGAAACTTGCAAGTGGAATAATCTTATCTCGAATAGTTGACCTGCATAAATTATAAGCATATGGATCTTCAACTAAAATGGGCATATGGATATTTAACAACTAAAATGGACATATAATTGACATTTTAGTTTGTTTATATTCTGAATGTGCAACATCCACATCCAAGAATTGCTTGACTTACCCCAATATCATAAGTCTTGTTCCAACAGCCTATACAAGAAAAGAAAATGAGTTACAAACCACTTTAAACTGTACATTTGTGTGTGTTTGGTTACTGTTAGAGCATTTCATACAGCATCTTCGTCAATATCCTCTTCGTCATCGAGGTGGACTAAACAAGTTGAAGAAACTTTCACATCCTTCTGTTTTAGTGATCGATAGGTTTCGAGTTCTTTGGCTTCTTCTTCAGAATCTTTTGTACATGTCAAGCATTTACCTGGATACCATTCAATCAAAATTCAGAGAGATAAGAAGCCATGGTGGCAAATAGTATTGTGAATGGCACTACATGTTTCCTAGTAACTACCATTTACCCAAACAGATACAGATGGTGGAGGGGATAATTACCACACACTTGACCAAAACCTACACATCCATTAGATTCTACAATTTGTGCTTTCATTTAGTACAATCAACGACTAAATGACAAAGAAACTCTTATAAATAAAAGGTTAGGGAGCGGAGGCAAAAAAATTTAGAAAGCCCCATTCTTTTCATTGTTAATCAACTTCTCCACAATTAAACAGATGGGTTGACCTCGTACAAACAAGCTCCAAAATCTGTTTTTTGAACCATATAAATGAATTTAAATGTCTAATAGGATAACAGTTATCACAATCATTAACAAGAACCATGTTTGGCAAGAGGCACACAATTGCGGCAAAAACTAGACAACTTCATTAAAACAGCAAAAACAAAATGATTATATGCAACAGTCAAAATGTAGCCTAGTTGTTCGATTACAAACCCTCCCAACCCATTATTTCCTCTCTGTTTTCCCCTTAGTAATCAAAAGCCAGCAGCTTCATCATCTTGTGTTCCATTTTTTTTTCGTACTTATTCAGATGTTCTTCTTTATAATGGAAAAAATCCCCGAGGATCAATAGCACATGGTTTGAAATTCGATAGATAACACGCCAGCCCTCCTTGTTCAGAGTTGACAACCATCTATCTGCAGTTTGCTCCCTTCTGAACAACCATATTTAAGCATATTAAACCTGTACATCAGTCTCATTTCTTTATCCAGCAACATAAAGACATCTTTACAAGATTCTCCGACAAAGCAACAATTTAATACTTGCCATTATACTAGTGCCAGACTTTCAAACTCTGTATCTGACTAAGAAATATAATGGTTTTAGCTCATATCAGTACACTCAGCCCATGTAGGGGACAAAAAGTATCATGTATGATTTTAACTCCAAAAACATCCATGCTTTTTGGAAAGATGGATATTATTCCTAGTTCCTACTACCAATGTAAGATATTCATCATCAGACTATCCTGCAACTTTTACTAGCTTTTCTACACCATCCATTTATTACCATCAGAAGGCAAAATGAGAAAGCAAAGGATGATACATGATCACATAGTTTCTAGAGACCACTGACAACAGCATCTTTAACGATGATATGTCCTTGGATATCAAGTTTTAACCCCAGCAATCAAGAGCAACAAACAGATATTAGCTCTGTAATTATCACATATCAACAGATCACTATTGGAACAAACATTAGCTATTCAAGTTGAAGTTGTATAAAATATAACTAGTCGGGTTCTAAGCTTTGTCATCTCCATCAACTTCAGAACTAACTTTTGGATCAGCAATTTTGACACTTTCCGGTGCCATGACACGTCCAGTCATAGGATGAACTGGACAAGTGTCCCGTGGACCACCTTTTTGTCCCATAGCTAGCATAGGTGGAGGAGGTAATACGCCTGCTCGGAAAAGAAGACGTTCAACCAGTTCTGACGGCTGTGCACCAACGGATAACCAATATCTACAGAACAGCAAAGATTAGGTAAACAATACATGATTGTGTCATCTTAATAGCTATCTGATGATCAGAGAGTATAAGAATCAACAAGGTCTTGCAGCAACTAAAAGCAAAGTCAAGAGTATAACCATTTCATTTGAGCACTATTTTCCTTTTGGACCTTTGCAAGAGTAGCAAAATTAAGAAAGTTCATGAGACAGCAGCACAGTGCTACTGTAATTTCTACAAATTGGAAGAAATAGGTCCTACAAATATCAGCTATAATTTTACTCCCTGCTCGACCCAGCCAAAATGAAGTCTTCGACCAAAATAAAAGGTTTAAAAAAGAGATAGATAAACTAACAAGCGTTATTTCTTAATCTGTCTTTATGCGTTGCTGATAATTAGCCTTTCAAAATCGCAGCCACACGCTCCTAATTCCCCAGACAAAGTGTACAAACACATATCAACTTGTTGCACAAATGAACCATTCTATCATGTTTATGGTCCATGTCCCCAGTAACAGAATAAACAACAGAGGATCTTTGATTATACAAAACACTTCACTCACATATGTCTCTCTCCCTCAGCAGCAGGACAAGTTCTACATGATTATTGTCAGTTAAAGTACACAATGCAGCAAACCATTTATTCCCATCATTATTTGTTAATGGAAAACATCATTCCTAAAACTTAAAAGAACACAAATCCTCTCTGTTGGTAGCAAAAAATCTCACGAACTTCTAAGACAGCAAACTGTTAACGAATTCCCAGATGAGTTAGCATATTGTTCTATCCACTTGTTACACTCTCAACAAAAGGTAGACATTAAAATATCTCATAAGAAAATTATAACCCAAGTACTCATAATTATAAGTTTCTTTTATAAGTAAATAACTTCTTACATGAAACATCTAAGGGGATGCAACAAATATTCAACAAAGTATATAAACCACCGCCCACCAGAAAAAAAGTGGCCATTTTACAGTGGTCTAATGCTTCTGATCCCTAACATTAACTATGCTCGCATAGTCAAGTGAATCTTAATTGCACCGTTTTCCTTGTCTCTTCGCCATCATAGTTAGCATTGGTCCACAACCTCCTTAGATTCAGTTGCATCTTCATACAATTACCTGGATAACTCGATTCAAACAGCTTGGTTGTTCCCTCATACATACCTTCAATAGTCGCCCCAAAAATTACCCAAATTCTTTAAATTGCTTCCTTGTATATATCAGCATTAGTCACCTTAGAAATTCCCCAAACACTTTAAATTGATCCATTCAATCAGACATCCCCTCTTACACACTCACGTCATTGTTAGCAGCTCATGAGAAATTTTTGTACATGTTTTGCTACTGATCCAGGGATTTGATTTCTGCTTCATGCATCTTACAGCAATCTTTTTTGGCCAGCGTATTCAGTCATTTCATATGAGATGATATTCTTTTTGAAGGATTGCCGACCAGATGAACAGAAATTTAAAGTTACAAGTTAGCAAAATTAATTTTAAATTTATTTACCACACCCTTAGGCTAGTCGTCTTTTAAATTTATGTAGTTAGGGATAGTTTGTCCCTGTAGACTCTCATGTCAAACTTTTGGACTTTGTCAGCTTTTATCCTTAGCATAGGCCTCATTGCAACAGAGCTAACAAACTCTCACTTTTGTACTTCTGCTATCATGCATCTACTTGATGCCATTTATAATACCACTTACTTCATCAAAACAAGTTAGCAAAATCTGTTTTACGTGACTACAATGTTATTCTTGATCCTACAGCTATAAACTAGTCTTAACTATTCGCATTCATAGCCATTAAAAATTTTCAATGATCTTGTAGATCAAACAAGCTTTACCTAACTAGAAAAGCTATACTCGAGCTTCCACATTTTGCATAAGCAGCTGATTTATCACTTTAAGTAGTCTTACAATGTTCTTTGTCAGACAGCAAAAGGTAAAAACATGATACGTGAACTGAATATTTATCAATATATGATTGTCTAGTATCTACTATACCTATTAATTTTATCCATCTTATCTGAACTTTAACAAGAGACCAGAAAATGAAAATAAAACATCTCTAAGTTATAAATGGAAATCATCCTGTTGGGAATGATAACAAAAACAACACCTTCTGGAAATGTACTTACTTCACCCGGTCAAAATTAAGACCCATCCGTTTGCCACCATCTTGACCTGTACAAATGAAAATTGTACAAGATATTCATCAGCACCTCAAAAAAATATTACTTCCTGATTATAAAATACTTTTTTTTTAATGAAGTAAGATGTTAAATTGCTAGCATCAAGAAGATGCAATGAGGACAAAAGTGAGACGTTAGCTCCATTACAGCATGTTCCAAACTAAGATCAGGGAGCTAACAAAAAATATAGTAAAATACTACTATATGTCCCCTACCAGCCTAAATCGAACACAGTTCCTTGATAACTCCAAACTCTTAATTCAACATTAACCAACTGAGGTTTCTTGTCAACAAAACCTTTACACTACACAAGGATAAGAACCCAAAATCAATCAGTTAAAGGAATAGAAAATCAAGCTGAAAGATGACAATTTAAAAATGGGTTAATCCAAACAAAGTGAAATTACTAACGCTTATTAGGTCACAACAATAACAAATACAGTAGTACTTAACAACTTCCTATTGAAGAATAAGGTGGGCTGCTGCTTAACCTGGTCTAATTAAGCTCACATGAGGTTTTGGGAGATAGGGTTTACCTGGGAGAGGATTGTAGTAACCGAGGACTTCCAAGTGCTTGCCATCTCGGGGAGATCTGCTATCCGCCGCCATTACTCTGTAAAAAGGTTTGTTTTTGCATCCAAACCTCGACAACCGCAATCTTACCACCATTTTTCTCTACCTCTTCTTAGCTCCAAATGTGCCGGCTGAGTTTTTTTGTAAACAGGGAATGCAAATTGTGAGAGACTAGGGTAAGAGACTACGGCTCGTTACTGTATACATAGGTAAACATCACTTCACTCACTATTACATACTCCTCGCTCCCAATTTATATGTGATTTTGTTTTGATAAAATGCATAAAGACTCCATTTAACTTATAGTGGAAAATCACTTACCCACATAAACTTTACGAGTGTTCTAGCACTCCACTACTATTTAACAAATTGTATTTATTTATTCCCTCCTAAACCCTACCCCAACTATAATAACTTGAGTGGGAAACACGCATTTTTATTGTGAGGCCACGTAATTAAATTGTTCAGTAAATAAATATAACACCTTCAAAGACTCTCATTCACCCTGTTAGTAAAAAATTCTCAAATTGAAGAACCCTAATGCCCCACCTTCAAAGATTCGATTTGCCTCGCCAAAATCGATTTGCCTGACCAAAATCGAAGGGACCTGTTACAAAATCCTTCGATTTCGTTGTTCCTTAGGGTTTCATTTGTTCTCAATTGTTTCATTTGACGATTTGGTGGAAGACCCGTTCGAAGTTGAAGGTCTTTGAAGAATCAAGTTCAAACGTTATCTCTGTTTTAGTTTGGAGGTAAATACATCAATCCTAGCCTTTTCTATTGTCAAAATGTTATCTATGTTTTAGTTTGTTTAATATCATTCATATCTAGGGTTTTGAACTTGCTTCAAATTTCTTCACCGTAACGTTTTCAATGTAAAATCGAGTAACAGAAATACAATTTTTAAGGTGTAATAATAACCAAATTTCAGTTTTTTCTTGTTGCATGTATTGTGACTTCTTATGTCGGGGTCTAATAGTAACTATTAATCCTTAATTAGTTTATTTTCTACTATATTCAGGTATTTCAATGTCTTTTGTACTTGTTACACTGAGGTTTTTTCATGGTGGAAAAATCTCCATGGATAAGTTACATTACTTTTCAGTGGAGGATTATGTTGGTGGGATAATTATTGATTTTGTTGATGTCAATATTGATATGTTCTCATATTTTGAGTTTTTAGGTTATGTGAAAGAGTTTGGGTACAATAGTTCTTCTGTTGTTATTTATATTAGACCACCTAATTGTCCTGATTTGGTAGTAATTAAGGTTGATAGGGACCTTATGGGTATTTGTGAAAAGTTAAAAAGTGGGAATATTTTGGAGGTATATGTAGATCACATGGTTGATGATGCTATAATGGTCCCCCCTCTATTAGAATATGTCAGCCAAGTGGGAGGGTGATAGTAATGTTATTTTTTAGAAAGAATCTAGTCAAGATTTGGGGGGCTGTGAGGGTTTGGAAACTTCTGAAAAAGTATCCAATGCTGCTGAAAATAGTGCCAATAACATTGTACCTACAGCTGTTACTACTGATGATAGTTCAAAGTTCAAACTCCTCATCTGAATCAAACTCATCTGAATTTAGTAGCAACACTGATAATAACTCAGATTCAGAGCATGAGGAGTTGTTTGAAGAAGGAGAAGCTGATTATGGCAGTGATACACATGAGGAATACAGGGCATTTAGGGCAGAGAGAAGGACTGTAGAGAGGAGGAAGAGGAAAGAAAGTGCTCCTGAACAAGAAAATGTTAAACTAGGTAAGAGAGGGCCAGATGCGGGGTATGATGTATATGAATCTAGGAAGAAGAAGAGTTTAGAAGGTAAGATAGGTGGTGATGAGCCTTATTACCACTCAGATGAAGCTGCTAGTTTTGCGACAGATCCAAATGATGTTGATGATGAAGGGAGGTTCAACAGAAAGTTAAAGCTAGAAGAAGAAAGACTAAAAGAAGAGTAATCTTTGACAAAACTTGCAAGAAAATAGTTTGGTAAACTGGACTTGCATTTGCAAGTGTGAGAGATTTCAGAGAAGCTGTAACTAAATATGTTGTTCAACAAAAGGTTTCTATAGAAAAGTATGTAAATGAACCTACAAGGGTGAGGGTTAAGTGCAAGAAGGCATCCTGTCCTTGGCTTCTAGTTGCTAGTTATGATTCTAAGACTAAGGATTTTGTAGTGAAGAACTACAATCCAGTTCACAAATGTGACCTACTAACAGAAACAAGCTATGTAATTCGAAGTTCTTGGCCAAAAGGTTCAATGAGAGGATAAAACAACAACCTAATATTAGAATATTCAAGTTTCAAGAGTTGATTAGAAAGAAATTGGGATTATATGTTGGGAGAACAGTTTGTAGGAGGACAAAAAATATTGTGTTGAATGAGATAATGGGTGATCATAAACTGGAGTATGGCAGGATATTAGATTATAGGGATGCGTTGCTTAGATATAATCCAGGGAGTACATGTGTAATGAAGTTTAGTGAAGAAACTTTTGAAGGTGGGAAGAAAATATTTATTGGGTTCTACATTTGTTTTGATGCAATGAAGAAGTTATACTTAGCTGGTTGTAGGTCATGCATTGGATTGGATGGATGTTTTCTAAAAGGGGTATGTAGAGGCCAACTACTTGTAGTAGTTTGCAAAGATGAAAATAATCAGATGCTTCCGCTTGCTTGGGCTGTTGTTGAGATTGAAAATATTCACACTTGGAGGTGGTTTGTCAACCTGTTAAAGGGTGATCTTCAGCTTGGAGATGGTACAAATCTGACCATAATAACAGACATGCAAAAGGTAAGCACTTGTAGTTTATTGTTATTTTCCTATTACTATTTCACTTAAAACAAACTACCATTGTTCATTTTGCAGGGGCTTGAGAATGCTATAGCAGATCTGCTTCCAAATTCTGAGCATAGGATATGTGTGCAAGGCACATCCTAGCTAACTGGTCTAAGAAATGGAGTGGCATAGAGAGAAGGAACTGCTTCTGGAGGTGTGCAAGGTCTACCTATGAGTGGGAGTTGAAGAAAAATCTGGATGAAATGAAGAAATTGGAGAATAAGATAGTTGATGAAGTGTTGTACTACAACATTAAAAGATGGAATAAGGTGTATTTCAACACATTGTACAAGTGTGATAGTGTTGACAATAATATGACAGAATGTTTCAATGCTTGGATTTTGGCAGCAAGGCAGAAAACTATAGTGACAATGCTTGAAGAAATATGGGTGAAGATGATGAACAGAATAGGTTAGCTCAGACAGTTTGGAAACACTTGGATTACTGATTTTTCACCAATGGCCATGAAAGTCTTAGAAGAGAACACATAAAGGTCAATGAAATGTAACATTTTCTAGAATGGTGAGTTTGGATTTGAAGTGAAGCAAGGATCAGGTGCAAGTGAAGTGAAGCATCTAGTGGACATCAACAGGCAAACATGCACCTGTAGAGCTTGACTATTAAAAGGCATACCATGTGCTCATGCAGTTGCTACTCTGCATTATAAAAATCTGGAGCCTTTGAACTATATTTCTCACTGGTACAGTAATGCCACTTACATGAAAACATACAGTTACTTTCTTCAGCCTGTCTTGGGTATGAATATGTGGCCAGAGTCACAAAACCCAATTGTTATACCACCTCATGTCAAGAAGATGCCAGAAAAGCCAAAGAAGGTTAGAAGAAAAGATCCAGGTGAAAATAAGATAAGAGAGTGGAGTGGAAATGACATGTAGCAATTGTCATAACAAGGGTCATAACAAGAGGGGTTGTCATAAAGCTGCTGGAAGTAATATTGTTGCTACTTCAGTAAGTTCTGTGCCTGCAAGTGTTGGTAGTTCAAAGCCACCAAAGCAAAGTACTGGAAGAGGAAGGGGTAGGCCAAAAGGTTCTAAAGAAAAGGTGAAGTTCTTCCCTTTAATGTCTTTTTTTTTTTAAATAATTACCAGATTCTTACTTTTGATTGGTTGATGTAGGATGTTGGTACTAGCACTGATGTAAGAACACAATATAAGAAGCCAATGATGGTTGGAATGGGAGTTTTACACACTCAAAGTGGCTTCAAAATTCAAAATGTAAGTCTAACACAACCTCTCATATTTAGGCGAATTCATTGTCTGATTTTCTGTTGGATCTTGGCAGCATGGAATGTCACCTACAAACTTTAAGAATGTGAGGTCTTCGGCAGAAGTAACTGGACATCTAGGCCATCAACCAGTGTAAAATGGAAAGGTAAAGAAGCTATGACATCAAGGCAGCTTCAACAATTGAGAGGCAAGAAACTCATTCAAACAAGGTCTAGGGCTGCTAAGTTGAGCCAGGAAAGCACCACTACAAATCAACCCAATTGATGAAGATATTGTTTTGTTGATGACTGTATTGCAATAGACTGCATTATGCTAAAATTTTAAGCAGCTATAGACTGCAATTCTATATTATGATAAGGATTTTTAGGTAGCTAGAGACTGCATTTTGCATTTTGTTACATTTGGTATATGTTTTGTTGCTGCTACAATGACAACAAACAGCTGTTTTGTCAACTCATTTTTGTGACTTTTATTATGTTTGTTTCGTTTAGGTCAATGAGACCAAATATGTGTTTCAATATAGTTTATGCATCTGTCATATTAAGTCTTTTGTGTGTCTATTGTTGATTGCCAAGTTCTGAAGTTTATGCAGTTTACTTCACAATGTAAAAACAGCGCTTCATTAGAAATAACAATTGATAAGCAACAACTATATACATATTGAGATGAGAAAACTACAAAAGGCTTACATTCAAATGAAAGGTCTATTGCAAACATACAAAATAAAACCTACAAGCAACAACTACATACATATTGAGATGACAAAACTAGATTCACAATGGCAACCTCATTGCATCTTCTTTCAATGACATTCATGGATACCTACAAGCAACAAGTATAATACGCATCCCCAATATAATGAACCAAAGTACATTTTCCCTAGCTTTTGACTTAGCCAATTTACTCTTCCACTTCTTTTCCTTCTCTTTCATCTTCTTCATATCAACTTACAATTTCACCTTGGGTTCTGAGGGGTCCAAGCTGTTAACAAAGGCAGCACATAGCCATGGTTGCATCGAATTTCTCCACTTGACTCATTTTCTTCCTCTTCCGTGCAAAGCCTTGTCAAATTCAAGCCTTTTGAAGGCATTGCAACAACTACAACACAAACAGCCAATACAAAGTCAGATAATTTGCATTTGCTTTCAAAGATCAGATAATTGAATTTTA